TAGTGTATATTTGACTTTCTTCTGATATTCCCACAACTCATTTCTTGTAGTGTCTCTTTATACAGAGATAGATGTAGTGAGATGTTAAGTGATTTCAGCTGCAGTCATTTGATTCTGTAGCATCATCTGTATAAGATTCATAAGATTGCCTGCGGTGCAATAGATAGATTGATTCAGATCATCATTAAAAGTCAGCATTCTGAAGATGGAGAATAGTGAAGAATTTGAAGAATTGAAATGAACAGATTCTGCAGATGAATGTTAACTCTGCTTTTCTTGATTCTGAAGCTTCTCTGTTGTCTCATCATCAAATTTCATACTCTGGTGAAAACTGACCTCAGTCTCATCTTGCAAGTCAGAAGCCTTCTCATAATGAGTGATCATTCTATCAATGAGTCATTTAGTGAAGTGTGTGATTCTGAGCCTTGAGCTGAACTCTGAAGTAACAGATGTATCACTTATATTGAGATGGCTCTGCTTCTTCTAGATGTGTAAAAAAAAAAGGTAAAAAGTGATATTCTTCATGAAGAACACACTTTCTCAAAAATATAAAGTATATGAATTCACTGACTGACAGATTCAGGGAAAATGAAATATCTCTAATAAAGAGTAAGAGTCTTTTCAAAAAAGGTGAACTATTCATGTCAAAAAAATGTTGATACAATGTTCTAAAAAGAAAGATGTGCCATCTGAGCTATAACCTGTAGAATAGTTAAAGATTGTATTGATAGATCTATCTACAGAAACATAATATAGTGATGAGTCACATAATCTAGTGAAATCGCTAACCGCAACGGCCGTAAGAGCCAACAGTTATATGGTGAAAGGATTAGTAAGCCAGATCATGTGACCTGACACTCTCACTCATCAGAGTAACTATACACAATGCTATATACAAAATTCACCTTCAAATCAAGTACAGGTACAAAAAATGAGTGGAAAATGTGAAGTAATGAAAAATCAGTCATGATATACATCATTTTTTATTTCTCTATCTCTTTATCTTCATAATCTCCTTTCAACATGTATATTTCAATGTTTCAAGTGATTTAGTAAGCTCATTCACTGCATTCTCAGCAGATGAAACATATCAGATAGATATCTTATTCTTGTGAACAAGATTCTGAAGAATGTGAAAACAGATCTTTATATGCTTCAAGCAGTGTAAAATTGCTTCAGAAGAGAATAGCTCTATAATGAACTTATTATCAGCATGAATTATATAAGTCAGATCATTGACTGTGATGAAAATGAGATGATCATCAGTATTCAGATTGTTGAGATGAGATGAAATGAATTCAGTGTCTTATAGAAGCTCTCAGAGACAGATAAGCTTATATACAGTCTCAGAGAATGCAATATATTCAGTCTCTGTTGATGACTTGAAGACCTTTGTTTGCCAGCAACTCTGCTATGCAACAGGGCCACCTGTCATGTAGATGATATAATCAGTGATTGAACAGGATTCTGAATTTCTATCAGCTCAATTGACATCTGCATATGCTACAGATTCAATTTCAGCACCTCTGTAATAGATTATACTCTCATTGATTGCACTCTGTAGATATCAGAGTATATACTTGTATGTAGCTCAGTTCTTTGATGTAGACTGAGAGCTGAATTGTTCAAGAAATTCTGTGATGAAGCTCATATCAGAACATGTATTAAATGCCAGATATTGCAGAGATCTGATACTGAATTGATAGAACTGTAGGATAAATTCTGCTGTGTATGTAATTAATTTCTCATCATCATTCATGAAATTGATATTCTTCTTCATAGAAGTGAATGTAGAATAACAGTCATTTATTAAGAACTTCTTCAGAAGATTTCTTATAAAGAGAAATTGAGACAATGTTAATAAAGTTGAATCTCTATCAATCTTCATTTCTAGATAGCAGTTGAAATCCTCTACATTCTTGATCTCATAATTAGTGATAATTTCAGCTTTAACTCAGTTCAGATCTTTGATTTTTGAGCTGTAGAGATGAACATCATTTACATAGATGATTATATAGATCTGTCTTTCATTGTGAATAAATAGTTCAGTATCATAGAGACTGACACAGAAGTCTGAGTATAATAGCATCTTTCACAGCTTCTTATATTATAAGAGTGCTGCTTGCTTAAGACTGTAGAGTCTCTGTATCAACTCACACACAAGATCATCACAGTCTTCGCGGAATTCTGTGAGTTAATTCATATATATTCATTCATCAGCAGGCAGTTGAGTGTTTAAAAAAGCAGTCATTATATCAATCTGCAGAACATATCATCTCTGAAATGCTGAGATTGTCATGAGAGCTTATAAGATGAATGCAGAGACAATGAGTGCAAAGATTCTTAAGTAATTGACTTTCTTCTATTGAAGATTTTCACAGATAACTCAGTGAGTCTTATAACAGATAACATTACTTATATTATTGAACTTTTTATCAAATACTCATTGACTGTGAAGAACACTCATTTATGATGTTCTCTTAATCAGTTATCAGATCTCTATCTGTTTCAAACAGTTGATCTCTTTAACACAGATCTTATAATAATACTTTCATTTCATAAAAGCTTTGAGACATGTGAGATTTTTCAGGATCAGAAGTGCAGCAATCTCAGAATTGATAAGTAGGTCTTTGAGACTGTTTCTCACTGAAGCTTTCTCCACTGTAGTGATATTTCTTGTAGATATTGAAGAATCATCTGATTCAACTGTGAATTCTGAAGAGTTCAGTGTATTCTGTACTAAAAAGATAGGTATTCTTGCGGAGATATCATAGTCAATTCATCAATTATTAGTGAGTATGAGAAATAATAAACACTCAGGTCAGATTTCCTCATCAATGAACAGATCATCTATTAATGAATCAGAAATCACTGCAATCTCTTGACAGGCTGCAGTGAGTAGGCCTGGTGTCACTGAAGAAATTGCCGCACCCGCTTTACAGGCCGCATTGAGTAGAATCTTCAGATTGTGTGTTATTAATATTAATGAATCAGCAAGATAAAGGTCCTTCTGAAAGATGATGTCTTTTAATATGTATAAATGCCTGTTGAAGAGGTTTATCAATCTATAATTAATAAAATCATTATAACTCACAAAAATCAACTCTTTGAAACAGAAAGTCATCTTATTAATGAGCTTGAGAACTATCTTCAAGAATGCTTTGCAATCTCATTAATGAATGCCATATGCAGAAGATAGAGCTTCAAGCCAGGTCTCACACAGTGTAATTGACTTTGTATTTTCAGAGCTTTCATACAATATCATTGAGATTGACATAAGGTTAAGCACCTCTGTGACTAGACTGACCATGTGACCGTGTCTGAGATCAGAATCAAACTTTACAGTTATTACATTGTCTAAAAGCATTACTTCTGATCATGATTTATATTCATTACATTGATTTCAAATCACATTATTTCAAATATTAAAGGTCTCAGATTCACTTTTCAAATAAAAATCTAGTCTCAGATAAAGAATATGTTTAAATTCTTAGTCACATTTTCATTCTGATCTCATTATTGAGAATGATATTAAATGAGATTATAAAATCACTTCTCACTTATATAATATCATAACATAGTGCTCATTTGTTGAAAATTCAACAGAGAGTGTTATCAAATATTATTACTTTTCTGAATATAAATTATAATTCATATAATTTTAATTATGAAAAAAATATAAAATACAAAAAAAAATAAAAAATAAAAAACAAAACAAACATAAGAAAAAATCACATTAAAAAAAAAAGAAAAGAAAAAGAAAAAAATAAAAAATAAAAACAAAAAAAATCAAGATCACAGAGTCACAGTACTTTTAAAATACTCACTTCTTAGAGTCTTTACAATATTCATTATCAACTGTGTATCTCTTACAATGAGAGTAACATGGCTGTGATGAGTCATTATCTTAATATTATCTAATAAATAATCAGTATATATCTGTATAAATATGAATAATTAGAAAATATACACTTAAAAAGTGTGGTCAGAGTGAACTCTGCTGTCACTTAAATGATATTAAGAGCAGAACACTGAAATTGATAATTTCTCTCATCAATTTCACAGACAAGGTATGTGAAGATAATCTTGAGAAATATAAGATTCTCTGACTTCTGATAAAAACAGATCTCATGAAGAGACTCTATTTTCATAATATCAGAGACTGAGTATTATCAAAAAGTATTACTTTCATGCAATATACATGCACTTACTGCAGTGATTCACTCTCTGCACACATGACTGAGAATTGCAGCTTTTTCACACTGCACAGCTCTCTCTGAAATGCTGTCATCAGTTTGCAATTCACACAGTCTCTCAGTTCAGTACATGCTGTGTGTATGCAGTTCTGCATGCTGAGGCTGTGTTAATCATTATAGCCTGACATGATACTTGCTTTTCACAAGTCATGTTTCATTTGAGAGAGAAGAAGAAAGATATAACTGTTGTTTTATTGAGAGAAGAATGAATAATTAGTATTATTAAATTAATTTGATTCATCTGCATTTAAAATTTGATTAGTTTATACTCTTCAATTTGAGGATTTCTATGAGTGTTTTAATAGTTTTCATACCAGCTTGAACTTAGTGATGAGTTGAAGAAGAAGAGAAAAGAGAGAAGAAAGAAATGAGAATAACTTATCTTTATAATATGAAAATAAAGAATCACTGTAATCATTCTCTCTAGTAATAAAGATCTGTTTTCTGCATGTATCTCTGATATAGATTATATGATAAATGTATATAAAGAATATCAATAGTGCATGTATTGAATGAAGATAATATTGCTATATAACACTGTAGCTGTTTCTGTACATCTCTGAAAGCTGTTAATAGTTTCTTTGTCTCTTTATGTTTGATAAGTCAATAATATATTCTGATGCACTCTCTCTTTCATCATCATCATCATCATCATCATCATCATTATTATTATCATCATCATCATCATCATCATTATATTATTGCCTGTCTTCACTGTCTTCTCAATACTTATCAAAATCAATCATGTCATCTCTCTTCAAATATTCTGCGGTTCTGCGGACCATCAAGGCGCATGAGCACTGTCACAGATTGAAGAAAGAGAAGAAGAAGATATTCAAGTATAGAGAGACAGATCATAAGACATATTATAATGTCTTGAAGAGACTCTGTAAGAGAGCAGAATAATAATGATTTTAAGTAACACTTCTGATAGATTTAGACTGAACTAAGTATAGAAATAATATGAATAGCATCACTTATAAGAGATTGAAAAAGAAGATAGTGAAGAGTCTCATACAGTAGTAATGAGATCAGAAGAAGTTCTGAGAATGACTTGAGATCAAGATAAAGAGAGAGAGAGAGAAGAAGAGTATTACTATAAATAAGCAGCAGCAGAAGAAGATTGAGAAGATATTAAAGTAAGAGATAAAGAAGTTAAAACTGATAAGTTTTTTATTGAGAGATAACAATTTTTGATAATACTTCTGTTCTCTAATTGATTAGCAGGAGCTGGCAGAGAAGAAGAAGATTGAGACCTTATTCAGGTCTCAAATGCACTTCATGATTCAGAACATTGAGAAGACAGCTCTGCTCTCTGAGCATGTCAATCTGCTTACTGCTAGGGTGGAATCTGAGACAGCAGATCAGAAAATGCAGGATTTTGAGATGCAGGTTGATCTGGCTAAGAAGAAGCAGTGAGAACCCTTCTCTGAGAAGGCAGTGAAGAGAGATTTTGAGATGATTATCATCTCAGATGAGAAGAAGAAGAAGAAGAAGAAGAAGAAGAAGAAGAAGAAGAAGAATGAGAAATGAATTATGAAGAATAATAAGAAGAATGAGAAAGAGAAGAAGTAGATTTTTTTCTTTTTATATTAGTTAGTTATAAGTTTAAGTTTTTAATTATTAATAATTAAAATTGATTTTGAGTTTTCAAAAATTATTGTACAAGTTGTAATCAAGTCAGGAATGATATATATATATATATATATTTAACTATCATGATTCACAAATCACTATAATGTATAAGTATCTAGACTGACCGTGTGACCGTGTCTGGGACCAGGATCAAACTTTACAGTTGTCATGTTGCCTAAAAGCATTACTTCTAATCATGGTTTGTGTTCATCACATTGATTTCAAATCCCATTATTTCAAATATTAAAGATTTCAGATTCACTTTTCAAATAAAAATCTAGTCTCAGATAAAGAATATGTTTGAATTCTTAGTCACATTTTCATTCTGATCTCATTATTGAAAATGGCATTAAATGAGACTATGAAATCATTTCTCACTTACATAATATCATAACATAGTGCTCATTTGTTGAAAATTCAATAGAGAGTATTATCAAATATTGTTACTTTTCTGAACACAGATCATAATCAATATCATTTTAATTAAAAAAAAAAATGTACAATACAAAAAATAACAAAAAAACAAAAAACAAAATAATAAGAAAAAATCAAAACAAAAAAAAAAAAAAAACAAAAAAAGAGAAAGAAAAAAAGAAGAGAAAGAAAAAAAGAGACAGAAAGAGAAAGAAAATTAAAAAAAAAAAAGAAAAGAAAAAGAAAAAAATAAAAAATAAAAACAAAAAAAAATCAAGATCACAGAGCTGCAGTATCTCTAAAATACTCACTTCTCAGAGTCTTTATAATGTTCATCATCAACTGTGTATTTCTCACAGTGAGAATAACATGATCATAATAGATTATTATCTTAACACTATCTAATAAATAATCAGTATATATCTATATAAATATGAATAATTAGAAAACATACACTTAAAAAGTGTGACCAGGGTGAACTCTGCTATCACTTGAATAACATCAAGAACAGAATGCTGGAATCAATGATTTCTCTCATTGATTTCACAGACAAGGTGTGTGAAGATGATCTTGAGAAATATAAGATTCTCAGACTTCTGATAGAAATGAATCTCACAGAGAGACTCTATTTTCATCATATCAGAGACTGAGTGTTATCAAAAAGTGTTACTTCAATGCATATGTACTTACTATGGCAATTCACTCTCTGCACATGTGGCTGAGAGTTGTAGCTTTCTCACACTGCACAGCTCTCTCTGAGATGCTGCTGCCAGTTTGTAATTCACACAGTCTCTCAGTCCAGCACACGCTGTGCATATGCAGCCCTGTGTGCTGGGGCCGTGTTGGTCATTATGACCTGATGTGATACTCGCTTTTCACAGGCCATGTTTCATTTGATTGGGAGGGGAAAGGGGGGATGCGACTGCTGTTTTATTTGAAGAGGAATAAATAATTGAATCTGTAAAAGATAGGAGGTAATTTGATTTCTTCTGCATTTGAAATTTGATTAGTCTATACTCTTCAATTTGAGGGTTTCTGAGAGTGTTTTAATAGTTTTCATATCAGCTTGAAATTAGTGGTTGATTGAATAAGAGAAAAGAGAGAAGAAAGAAATGAGAACAACTTATCTTTATAATATAAAAACAGAGAATTGCTGCAATCATTTATTCTAGTAACAAAGATCTGTTTTCTGCATGTATCTCTGATACAAATTATATGATAACTGTATATAAAGAATATCAACAGTGCATGCATTGAATGAAGATGATATTGCTATACAACACTGTAGCTGTTTCTGTACATCACTGAAAGCTGTTAATATTTTCTTTGAGTCTCTTTATATTTGATAAGTCAGTAATATATTTCAATGCACTTTCTCTTTCATCATCATTATCATCATCATTATCATCACTATTATCATTATTATCATCATCACTATCATTATCATTATTACTATTATTATTATCATCATCATCATCATCATCATCATTATTATCATTATATCATTTCTGGCCGCCTCTTCTGCCTTCACTTCTCTTCAATACTCACTGAAATCAATCATATCATCCCTCTTCAAATATTCTGCGGTCCTGCGGACCACCAAGGCGCGTGAGTGCTGTCACAGATTGAAGAGAGAGGAGAAGAAGATGTTTAAGCAAGAAGAGACAGATTGTAAGACATGTTATAATGTCTTGAAGAGGCTCTGTAAGAGAGTAGAATGATAACAATTTTAAGTAATACTTCTGATAGATTTAGACTGAACTAAGTATAGAAATAATGTGAATGACACTGCTTATGAGAGATTGAAGAAGAAGACAGTGAAGAGTCTCATACAGCAGTGATGAGATCAGAAGAAGTTCTGAGAATAATTTAAGATCAAGATAAAGAGAGAGAGAGAGAAGAAGAGTGTTACTGTAAATAAGTAATGACAGAAGAAGATTAAGAGAATGTTAAAGTAGAAGATAAAGAAGTCAAAACTGGTAAGTTTTTTATTTATTGAGAGATAATGATTTTTAATAACACTTCTGTTCTCTAATTGATTAGCAGGAGCTAGCAGAGGAGGAGGGGATTAAGGCCTTGTTCAGGTCTTGAATGTGCTTCATGATTCAGAATATTGAGAAGATAGCTCTGCTCTCTGAGCATATCAATCTGCTTGCTGCTGAGGTGGAACCCGAGGCAGCAGACCAGGAAATGCGGGATTTTGAGGTGCAGATTGACCTGGCTGAGAGGGAGCAGTGAGAACCCTTCTCTGAGAAGGCAGTGAAGAGAGATTTTGAGATAGTTATCATCTCAGATGAGAAGGAGAAGAAGGAGAAGAAGAATGAGAAGTGAATTATGAAGAATGATAAGAAGAATGAGAAAGAGAAGAAAGATGATAAGTAGAAAAAGTTTTTTTCTTTTTATATTAGTTAGTTATAAGTTCATAATTATTAATAATTGAAATTAATTTTGAGTTTTTAAAAATTATTGTACAAGTTGTAATCAAGTCAGGAACAATATATATATATATATATATATTTAACTATCATGATTCACAAATCACTATAATGTATAAGTATCAACATTTTTTCAACATTGATATTCATAATATTAATATATTTTTAATGATATCATCTGATAACATAATTTAGTAACACTCTCTTTCACAATATTAATATATTTCAAGAAATATGACAGAGATTAATCAAGATTGTTTGTTTACTTTTATACATTGATGATATTCAATCTGAGTTAGTACTAAAATTATAACTAAGTTAAGAAACAAGATTATTTTCTCTTATATTAATTCTTCTTACACACATCAGTGATCAGTTATTGAAAATAAATTATTATCTTTCTCAAATTATTATCATATCTTCTGAATTCACTTCTTTCACTTCTTTTACTTCTATTGAAGATTCATAAACTCTTCAAGAAATCACTGTGAATCACAAAGTCTATATTGTTTACAATTCAACACAGAATGCTCTTTTTCAATCATAATAAATGATCACTTCATTCTTCACATCTGATTCCAGGTCATGAAATTTATGAAAAACTCAATACAAACATTGAGATGAACTATGAAATAATTATCAACAGATTGTATTGCAGATTACTGAAGAGTCATCTCTCTACTACAATCACTACAACTTCATTCAGAAACATTCATCATGAACTGATCATGACTCTGAAGAAATTTCTCAACATCTGAAGTCATCAGAATGTAGATAATAAAAGAAAAATAATCAGAAAATTACTACTGAGCTGATAAGTTGCTCTATCAGATAACAATTTTTGATAACACTAACTTTCTAATTTGAAGAAAATCATGTGAAAATGACTCTGTATCAGTACTCTGATTTCACAACTCTCATCTAATAACTTCTGTGAATAATTACTTCACATGTGTATATCTCTGAATCTTTCTCTTTGATCAATTAAAAACCCTGAATTCTGAACACTTCTTTAAATGCTTAATTCAAATCTTCATATTTCACATTGATTCTGTCTTCAGTCCAACCTCAAGACATACTACAAAGTTAATATGCAATATCTAGAATCAGAGTTGAAGAATCATTGAAGAGTGTCTCTCACAGTGAATGCATGAACTAGTACAAACAATCTTGCATTTATGAGAGTTACATGTTATTACATTGATGAGAACTGAACTTATTAAGAGATATTAATTGAATTTGAATCATTGATCAGTAGTCATACTGAGGATTATATAACAGAGATATTAATAACTGTGATTAAAAATGACTATTGAGATATTAGTCCCAGTCTTCTTACAATTACAACTGACAATGCTGTGAATAACTACACTATGATGAAGAGCTTGAAGCAAAAATTGGCTTTGCATTCCTGAAATGATAAACAAGGTCATATTCTCTGCATTGCTCATGTGGTTCAACTTGTGATGCAAACACTGATAAAGAATCTTAACATTGAGATGAAGAATAATGAGATGACTGATTCTTGAAATGAGAATGAGATGGAAGTGATTACTCAAGTAACTTTTGCATTCACTTTGCAAAAGATAATGTTTTTTGATAACACTTTTTAATATTGCTTTTTGATAATGCTTTTTGATAATGCTACTGTTAATTTTGAATAGATTGACTAATAATTTAAATATCATAGATTTAAAACATTGCTAATGTGATTTGTATCTCTTCTAAATAATAACAATGATTTCATGATATTCAATAAACAAACAAATCAGTCACATCACTGAATATAATACAGAATATTAGAACATGATGAAGTTCAACATATGAGATGACTGTTCAGACTCTTTGATTGTGTCAGATGATTGATCATTGAGTGTAACACTCTGATTGAGAAAAGATTCAGATATTGAAACTTTCTGATATGAAGTGAACTCA